ACAATAATTTACATGTTCGAGTGAACTAAAATCGGACAAAAACATCCCGTTTCCGCTTGCTCAAATGACGTCACCATTGCCTCTACATCTGACGCGGCATTAGCTAGCTACAGTTGCTATTGCTAAGTTAACTAACATTGCCTCGTCCTTCAGGCTATTGCTGACTATAGTTTTGGCATACGACTGATACCAAATGTGTGTAAAACGACACGTTCGGTAAACGTATGAAATACCTGAGATTCTACGTTTGTGTTATGGTTGTCTGTTAACTAGCATCCGCCCATGTTGGCTAACTAGCTAAGCTTCTTCGTTTAGCTTTAGCTAGCTAGTTGGAAATATAATATTGTCGGCCGTCCAGTTCACTATCTATCGGCTACGGCTGTTGCCAAGTAAATACTGATATTTTAATCACAATTCTATGTTGCTTTCTAGATCTGATGGGAATCATTCAGGCTTAGCTAGGCGGCAGGCCTTCCCCGGCCAGTGCTAATCCTGCTCTGTTTGTTTGCATAGCAAGGCTAACGTAGACTAATTCATAATTGTATAGAGTATTGAAGCTAGGACTGAGGAACAAGGACAAACTTGGCATTATGGTGATGATTATTGTCCTAGAACTCCAGCTATCGAGCTCATACCCCTGACACGCTTGCAGTGGCGAGTCAGCTGACATCAGGTACTGCAAGTTGTATGCAGCGTTGACGGGAACTCGGACATTGCTGACTTGGAAATTCGTTGTAGACAGATGAGGTCCGAGTTTCCCACTTGGAAAGTATCAGAATCAACCAATAGGAAGCTCTACGCAAAAAACGTACGCAAATTTTAACTCATAGGTTCCGAATTGTCTTAAACAAGGCAGTAGTTTTATGGCAGTCCCCTGTAGCTCAGTTGGTAGAGCATCGCGCTTGCAACACCAGGGTTGTGGGTTCGTTTCCCACGGGGGGCCAGTATGAAAATGTATGCACTAACTGTAAGTCGCTCTGGATAAGAGTGTCTGCTAAATGACTAAAATGTAAAAAATGTTAACACGGGTGGGTGGGCAATAATTTTGGGGACCACATTGGGATTTAAAAATTCAGCAGAGCCACACAGATTTTTTTATGGACCAATTTGTTAGTCAAAAGCAATTTGCGGGGCAGAAAAAGTGCAGTTATTTGAAAATGTATAGGTCCATTATAATTTCTACAAATCAAATTGTATTTGTCGCATGCACAGAATACAACAGGTGTAGACCTTAAAGTAAAATGCTTACTTACAAGCCCTTAACCAACAATACAGTTTTAAGATAGAATACCAAAAAGAATCACACCAAAAAATACAATATAAAATAATACAAAATAAAAGTAACAAATAATTAAAAAGCAGCAGTAAAAATAACTAGTGAGGCTATATACATACTTTCTGTCTAGTTTTAGACGTTCAGGAGTGGCCTGGAGTGTTAAAAAAAATAAAAAAGTGTGTATATACATAAAAGTACAATACCAGTTAAAAGTTTGGACACACCTACTCATTCCAGGGTTTTTCGTTATTTGTACTATTTTCTACATTGTAGAATAATAGTGAAGACATCAAAGCTATGCAATAACACATGGAATCATGTTGTAAGCAAAAAAGTGTTCAACAAATCAAAATATATTTGAGATTCTTCAAAGTAGCCACCCTTTACCTTGATGATGGCTTTGCACACGCTTGGCATTCTCTCAACCAGCATCATGAGGTAGTCACCTGGAATGCATTTCAATTAACAGGTGTGCCTTGTTAATTTGTGGAATTTCTTTCCTAAATGTATTTGAGCCAATCAGTGTTGTGACAAGGTAGGGTTGGTATACAGAAGATGGCCCTATTTGGTATAAGACGAAGTCCATATTATGGCAAGAACAGCTCAAATAAGCAAAGAGAAATGACAGTCCATCATTACTTTATTTTTTTTAATTTTTTTTATTTTTTTTCACCTTTATTTAACCAGGTAAGCCAGTTGAACAGGTTCTCATTTACAACTGCGACCTGGCCAAGATAAAGCAAAGTAGTGCAATAAAAAACAACAGAGTTACATATGGGGTAAAAAAACATAAAGTCAGAAATACAACAGAAAATATATATACAGTGTGTGCAAATGTAGCAAGTTATGGAGGTAAGGCAATAAATAGGCTATAGTGCAGAATAATTACAATAGTATTAACACTGTAATGCTAGATGTGCAAGAGATTATGTGCAAATAGAGATACTGGGGTGCAAAAGAGCAAAATAAATAACAATATAGGGATGAGGTAGTTGGGTGGGCTAATTTCAGATGGGCTGTGTACAGGTGCAGTGATCGGTAAGGTGCTCTGACAACTGATGCTTAAAGTTATTGAGGGAGATAAGTGTCTCCAGCTTCAGAGATTTTTGCAATTCGTTCCAGTCATTGGCAGCAGAGAACTGGAAGGAATGGCGGCCAAAGGAGGTGTTGGCTTTGGGAATGACCAGTGAGATATACCTGCTGGAGCGCAGACTACGGGTGGGTGCTGCTATGGTGACCAATGAGCTAAGATAAGGCGGGGATTTGCCTAGCAAAGATTTATAGATGGCCTGGAGCCAGTGGGTTTGACGACGAACATGTAGTGAGGACCAGCCAACAAGAGCGTACAGGTCACAGTGGTGGGTAGTGTATGGGGCTTTGGAGACAAAACGGATGGCACTGTGATAGACTACATCCAATTTGCTGAGTAGAGTGTTGTAGGCTATTTTGTAAAGGACATCGCCGAAGTCAAGGATCGGTAGGATAGTCAGTTTTACGAGGGCATGTTTTGCAGCATGAGTGAAGGAGGCTTTGTTGCGAAATAGGACATTAATAGGACTTTAAGACATGAAGGTCAGTCAATCTGGAACAGTTCAAGAACTTTGAAAGTTTCTTCAAGTGCAGTTGCAAAAACCATCAAACGCTATGATGAAACTGGCTCTCATGAGGACCGTCACAGGAAAGGAACACCCAGAGTTACCTTTGCTGCAGAGGATAAGTTCATTAGAGTTAACTGCACCTCAGATTGCAGCCCAAATAAATGCTTCACAGAGTTCAAGTAACAGACACATCTCAACATCAACTTTTCAGAGGAGACCGTGTGAATCAGGCCTTCATGGTCGAATTGCTGCAAAGAAATCACTACTAAAGGACACCAATAAGAAGAGACTTGCTTGGGCCAAGAAACACGAGCAATGGACATTAGACTGGTGGAAATCTCTCCTTTTGTCTGATGAGTGCAAATTTGAGATTCTTGGTTCCAACCGCCGTGTCTTTGTGAGACGCAGAGTAGGTGAACGGATGATCTCTGGATGTGTGGTTCCCACCGTGAAGCATGGAGGAGGAGGTGTGGTGGTGCTTTGCTGGTGACACTGTCAGTGATTTATTTAGAATTCAAGGCACACTTAACCAGCATAGCCTCCATAATCACCTGACCTCAACCCAATTGAGATGGTTTGGGATGAGTTGGACCGCAGAGTGAAGGAAAAGCAGCCAACAAGTGCTCAGCATATGTGGGAACTCCTTCAAGACTGTTGGAAAAACATTCCTCATGAAGCTGGATGAGAGAATGCCAAGGGTGTTTAAAGCTGTCATCAAGGCAAAGGGTGGCTACTTTGAAGAATCTAAAATATATTTTGATTTGTTTAACACTTTTGGTAACTACATGATTCCATATGTGTTATCTCATAGTTTTAATGTCTTCACTATTATTCTACAATGTAGAAAATAGTAAAAATTAAAGAAAAACCCTTGAATGAGTAGGTGTCCAAACTTGACTGGTACTGTATGTGGACACCCCTTAAAATGAATGGATTCTGCTATTTCAGCCACACCCGTTGCTGACAGGTGTATAAAATCGAGCACACAGCCATGCAATCTCCATAGACAAACATTGGCAGTAGAATGGCCTTACTGAAGAGCTCAGTGACTTTCAACGTGGCACCGTCATAGGATGCCACCTTTCCAACAAGTCAGTTTGTCAAATTTCTGCCCTGCTAGAGCTGCCCCGGTCAACTGTAAGTGCTGTTATTGTGAAGTGGAAACCTCTAGAAGCAACAACGGCTCAGCTGCAGGCCACATAAGCTCACAGAATGGGACCGCTGAGTGCTCTGAACCTTATTTGCGTAGAGCTTCCTATTGGTTGATTCTGGTACTTCCAAATGGGAAACTCCATCTTTCTACAACTAGTTTCCAAGTCGGAAATGTCTACGTTTCCTATTTCCGACTAGCCTGTGAACGCGGCATTAGCTCTGACGTGCTAAATGAACTGAATGCATGCACAGTCATACAGCTAACTAAAGCTGTTGGCTACATAACGTAGGCTGTTGGGTTTGGGGAATAAGTTGGTGGTTGGGAGTTAATTTCTGCAGACTTATCTGCCCCCTTGAATTTCCATAGCTAATGCCATTCTGTTAGAAATGTAAACGTGTACCATTACTGATTACCTCACTTCACCTTGCATTCCTCTTTCTCCTCACATAAGTTACCATGGGGAATATTTTTGGAAGCCTGTTCAAGGGCCTATTTGGCAAGAAGGAGATGAGGATTCTCATGGTTGGACTTGATGCTGCCGGAAAAACAACCATCCTGTACAAACTCAAACTAGGAGAGATTGTTACCACCATTCCTACAATTGGTAAGGACAATTTTCCTTGAATGCATTAGCCTCACCAAAAGGAATTCCACTGCCAGATTAGACTATGTATGGAATATGTGCCTCACAAGTGCCTCTATATAACATTCTGTGTTCTTTGTCCAGGTTTTAATGTTGAAACGGTAGAATACAAGAACATCAGCTTCACAGTGTGGGACGTCGGCGGTCAAGACAAAATCAGGCCGCTGTGGCGCCACTACTTCCAGAACACTCAAGGTAAGATCCAATGGCGCTTTGAGGAGCGTTGGCAATGGTGGTCTATAGATTGCCCCATCATTACAAGAACAAGGGTTGCTAGTCGGAGAACCAGTGTCATATTCTCATCATCTAACTGTGTACCTCTTTGCAGGGCTTATCTTTGTGGTGGACAGCAACGACAGGGAGCGAGTGAACGAGGCGAGGGAGGAGTTGCAGAGAATGCTCGCAGAGGACGAGCTGAGAGATGCCGTGCTGCTCGTTTTTGCAAACAAACAGGTGAGCTTGGTTACTTTGTTCAAAGGAGAGTGTTCATATCTGAATTCTGACTGCCTTACCTCCTTGTAGTGCTCTTTGCTCCTGCTAAACATTATATGAGTGGACCATACTCATTGACCATGCACACACAATCATTATTTGCATTGCCAACCCCTTGCACTATGACTGGGCTTGAGTAAGATATTATTAATTGCACAGTGTGTTACATATATATAATTTGAACCCCGTTTCTCAGGACCTTCCCAATGCAATGAATGCTGCAGAGATCACAGACAAGCTGGGGCTCCACGCTCTCCGCCAGCGCAGCTGGTACATCCAGGCCACCTGCGCTACCAGCGGGGACGGCCTCTACGAGGGCCTCGACTGGCTCTCCAACCAGCTCAAGAACCAGAAATGATCCATTCCACTTTTTTTTTTCTTTCTGTCTGACAAGATGGCAGCACCGGTTCCAAGCCCCTGACCCCCTCGGAACTCCCCTCCCTCCACAGTATTTCTCCAAAAACCTCATCCTCCATCTCTCTTTTTCTGTATCAATCCTTACTCCAGGGGCTCTAGCCTGTGCTGCGTGTGTGTGTGTGTGTGTGTGTGTACTGTGTATTTGCAGTCGGGTGTGTTTAGTGTGTGGGTGTGAAGGCGTGTCTGTTAGCTGGGATTTGGAGTAACCCTGGTGTGCCTTTAACACACCTCCTGTGGAAATGGTGGTCTGGCTCCTCAAGCGCCACCCCACCACATCCCACCCAGGCCCACTCTGTCTTGCACGATCTCCTCTCCCCTCCTCCCCATGCCAAGCATGGTTTTTACAAGTCAAAGAAAGAGCAAGGGTGCAAACGGTCCTCCTCTCTCTCCTTGGTAGATATTGAGACTGAATAATAGGACTTGCATTTTAACGTGTTTGTTTTGATACCTTACCTAGCCCCACCTGTGATAAAACCACATCGTGACCTGTATCAGGTTGAAACAAATCAAAAAGATCCCCTTCCACTCTTGGTCGTTCTTTGCATCATTTGAAATCCATGCTTTTCTTTTTTTATTATTATATTATCAACATCTCTTAGCAATGGTTCTCCAGCGAACACTACCTTTTCCCCTGCAAGAGGGAGAGACCATGAAGCACAAACCAACAACCATATGGAAATATTATCCTTCTAATGTTAAAATTAGCTTTGAATTTAAAAACGGTAAATGTTACATGACTTTCTCTTGGTCATATCTGAATTGTGAAAACTTGACATTTTGACTATATTTATTGACTGAATTTAAAGCAAAAGTTGTCCTAATGGTAAAATATGCTCCTCTTGAGCATTTCAATACATGGTTATTTTGACAGGCTGCATTGGGCTGGTCGACTGTTGACATTTAGAAGCTTCTAACTTTATTCCTTGAAATGTTTCATGTCTGTCTCTAGTTCTAGCATTTCTGTTTGTACAACTGCTGAACCAAATGCAATTGAGCAGTATGACATCTTGTATATTAAACATAGTGTACCCTCTAGGGCGTAAATGCTCTACATTTTGTGTTATACCTGGAAATATTCATGAGATTATTATTCTTGTCTCAAAGGTTGGCTGTACCTCAGCAAGCTGTACCCAGCAGCTTGCTAAGTTTGTGGCTGTGATGAAGGAAAAGCACCAAATATGAATGCTCTTAACTGTAATGCGCTAGGCTAATGAAGAAAATAAGCCTAGCTCAAGGGTCTGAGCGCTAACATTGGCTACATTTAGCAACTTTGTGCTTCATACTTGAGTTACTAAGACCAACAGGTATTGGTACCAGTACCTCCATTCCAAGAGCTGTAAGAAGGACTACAGAGGGCATGGGCCGGGGGGGGATAACTGGTCACGAGCTAAGCGCCGTCTTAAATTGTGTGACTGGAGGTTATGCTGGCACTTCTGTTAAGAATGATTGTACGTTTTCCCCTGCAACTGTTTCTGTGGGGTTTTCCTGAACACATTAAATGATATGATTTGATCCTAACATCTGGTGTTGACAATGAGATGATTTGTGTGACAGTGGGAACGAGGGTAGAATTTAGCTTTGAAGAAAAATTTATGGATTCCACAAAGCATTTACCGACTGCTACGTGTCTTTTTTTGGTGCAGTCCGGATCGGCCTTGATTTCAACGTCCGAGGACGTTGATTTTTGGTCCGGACCAAATCCAAACCAATCATAGATGTCTATGTTTGGACCGGCCTTGATTTCAACATCCACAGACCTATTTAGCCCAAACATAGATGTCTGTAATTGGTTCAGATTTGGTAGACATCTATGTTTCACATGTTTGGACAGTAGAGTACAGTAAAGGAAATTATAAACTGGTTGGTTCGAGCCCTGAATGCTGATTGGCTGACAGCCGTGGTATATCAGACCGTATACCACTGGTTTGACAAAACATGTATTTTTACTGAACTAAACTGTGCCATAATGTGATGTTTAAACTTGTGAAAAGCCTAGACGTCTATGATTCGTTCAGATTTGGATCTGATCCCACCAACCAAATTTGTACTTGTTCAGGGGCAGAGCTCAAGTGTTTATTTTTACATTTACATGTTGGTCACTCAGCAGTTTTAACGCTTTTGAAAAAAACGAACATAAGTGCATGTGACAGATGGGACCAATAATAAATACAGTGCTATGAAAAAGTATTTGCCCCCTTTCTAATTTTCTCTACTTTTGCATATTTGTGATACTGAATGTTATCAGATCTTCAACCAAAAGCTAATATTAGATAAAGGGAACATAAGTGAACAAATAACACAACAATGACATATTTCATTTATTTCATAAACAAAGTTATGCAACACCCAATTCCCCTGTGTGAAAAAGTAATTGCCCCCTTACACTCAATAACTGGTTGTGCCACCTTTAGCTGCAATGACTCCAACCAAATGCTTCCTGTAGTTGTTGATCAGTCTCTCAGGTCGCTGTGGAGGAATTTTGGTCCACTCTTCCATGCAGAACTGCTTTAACTCAGTGACGTGTGGGTTTTCAAGCATGAACTGCTCGTTTCAATTCCTGCCACAACATCTCAATTGGGATTAGGTCTGGACTTTGACTAGGCCATTCCAAAACTTCCAATTTGTTGCTTTTTAGCTATTTTCATGTAGACTTGATTGTGTGTTTTGGATCATTGTCTTGCTGCATGACCCAGCTGCGCTTCAGCTTCAGCTCACAGACGGATGGTCTGACATTCTGTAGAATTCTCTGATACAGAGCAGAATTCATGGTTCCTTCTATTAAGGGAAGTCGTCCAGGTCCTGAGGCAGCAAAGCATCCCCAAACCATCACACCACCACCACCATGCTTGACCTTTGGTATGATCTTACTGTGGAATGCAGTGTTTGGTTTTCGCCAGGCATAATGGGACCCATCTCGTCCAAAAAGTTGACTCAAGTTTGCCAAAAAGCACCAGGATGATCATCAAGACTCTTGGAAGAACGTTCTATGGACAGATGATTCAAAAGTATAACTTTTTGGACGACATGGTTCCAGTAATGCCTGGCTAAAACCAAACACTGCATTCCACAGTAAGAACATCATACCAAAGGTCAAGCATGGTGGTGGTGGTGTGATGGTTTGGGGATGCTTTGCTGCCTCAGGACCTGGACGACTTGCCTTAATAGAAGGAACCATGAATTCTGCTCTGTATCAGAGAATTCTACAGGAGAATGTCAGACCATCCGTCTGTGAGCTGAAGCTGAAGCGCGGCTGGGTCATGCAGCAAGACAATGATCCAAAACACACAATCAAGTCTGCATGAAAATTGCTAAAAAGCAACAAATTGGAAGTTTTGGAATGGCCTAGTCAAAGTCCAGACCTAATCCCAATTGAGATGTTGTGGCAGGACTTTAAACGAGCAGTTCATGCTTGAAAACCCACACGTCACTGAGTAAAAGCAGTTCTGCCTGGAAGAATGGGCCAAAATTCCTCCACAGTGATGTGAGAGACTGATCAACAACTACAGGAATCATTTGGTTGGAGTCATTGCAGCTAAAGGTGGCACAACCAGTTATTGAGTGTAAGGGGGCAATTACTTTTTCACACAGGGGAATTGGGTGTTGCATAACTTTGTTTATGAAATAAATGAAATACGTAATTGTTGTGTTATTTGTTCACTTATGTTCCCTTTATCTAATATTAGGTTTTGGTTGAAGATCTGATAACATTCAGTATTACAAATATACAAAAGTAGAGAAAATTAGAAAGGGGGCAAATACTTTTTCATAGCACTGTAGTCTGTTGCGATCTTCACTTGGCTCCTCTTTCCTATATTAAGGGGCTTGAAAATACATATTTTCGACTTCTGGAAAATGTATTTTACATTTACATTTACATTTACATTTTAGTCATTTAGCAGACGCTCTTAACCAGAGCGACTTACAGGAGCAATTAGGGTTAAGTGCCTTGCTCAAGGGCACATTAACGTCATTTAGCAGACGCTCTTAGCCAGAGCGACTCACAAATTGGTGCGTTCACCCTATAGCCAGTGGGATAACCACTTTACAATTTGGGGGGGGGGGGGGGGGGGGGGGGGGGGGGGGGGGGGTTAAAATGCACCTGATGTCAATGTCTGGAAAAGACGTCTAAAATACTAAAGTACTAAATGCAGGGAAAGAAACATCCCAAAGCATACGAATTGCCCTGGGGCCACGTTGGAGTATCATCTGTCTTTGACGTCTTGTTTTCAGGGGGAGGAAGGATGTGCTAAATGTCAAAATAACACTTTAATTTGCCTACATAATATGGTCATAATCATAATAAAATATGTGATTGACTTGATTGAGATTGGAAATTGACATAAGATATTGACATGACGCATTTCACAGCTTTACAAGTTGGCTGCTACTGGACCTTATGCAATGAAATAATTGTGAAGGGTTACACACAAGGTTACATTACACACCTTGATAAAACATATTAAATATTACATGTGTTCAAATACTATCTGTGAATCTGTCATTATTTGAACAATATGACCTACTTTCTGGAACTGTTCCCAATAGGTGAGGTGAGGAAAGACATGTAGCCTACTTTACTTTAGAAGAAAGGGGTGTGTGTAGCTCACCTACCACCATGCAAGGCACGCTCCTCCCGAGGGTGTGTGATAAAGGCAGAAGTGAAGTTACGGTTGAGGGGAAGCTGAAAACACTACGTCGGAAGGAAGAGGTAGGTGAAATTCGCTGGTGGTAGTTGTTCAATATGCCCGGCAGCTGACATCTCGCTGTACCCAATTATAAGGTAAATTTATTGGATTGAAATGGCGCAGTGACTGGACCAGATATAGCGAGGAAGCGCTTCATATAAGAATAGAACAGAATCTGCGAGCGACGTGTGATCTACAGGTGCACTGGTAACACTATCCCTGTTGTTGACGGCTGAGGTGCAAATTATATATAGTTTAACAGAAGTGTTCTCAAAATGAAACGACAACTACCAGTTTTTCCCCACCGATTTTCACCGTACAATGAAATGCCTAGTAGGATAGGAAAATGTATCCCAATACAGTTTAATTGAGGTTGCGCATAAGCTAGTCTACATATCATTTTAAATGTTGATATTTGGTTGGGTTGTTAACCAAACACATTAATTTTGTAATGCAGTAAATAGCCTAAAGTTAAGGCTATCTTACAAACTAATGTAACGGTATTTATTCAACCTTTAAAATGAGTAACATCCGTGTCTACATTTTGAGGTTAGCCCAATATAACTATTAATGTCTTCTTATGTAATCATAGAAAGCGTGTATGTTCAAGATAACATGCAAAAGTCGCAGGTCTTCACAATTGCTATAAAAATCTTCGCAGAATCTCGAACAGCATTGATCACTTGCACTATGTACTTTAAAAGTGAACTCAACGGCAATCCAGGACATTTGGTTGTGCTGTTAGATGAAGCACAGTGATAACACATGAAGTTGTTGTATAAATACAAAATATCTAACATTGTATTCCCATTGGACCTTTTTTCTCCTTTTAAATGATTGAACACGCAGTGATAACACATTTAGATGACAACTAAACCAAAAATCAGACATTGTTTTTCCATTGGAATTTGGTTGTGCTTTTATACTGAACAAAAATATAAACGCAACAATTTCAAAGATTTTACTGAGTTACAGTTCATATAAGGAAATCAGTCAATTTAAATGAATTAATTAGGCCCTAATCTATGGATTTCACGTGACTGGGCAGGGGTGCAGCCATGGGTGGGCCTGGGCGGGCATAGGCCGACCCACTGGGCAGCTAGGTCCACCCACTGGGGAGACAGGCCCAAACAATCAGAATACGTTTTTCCCCACAAAAGGGCTGTATTATAGACAGAAATACTCCTCAGCACCCCCCACCCCACCGCAGACTGCGTCTGCGTTTGTGAGGCCGGTTGGACGTACTGCCAAATTCTCTAAAACGACTTTGGAGGCAGCTTATGGTAGAGAAATTAACATTAAATTCTGTGGCAACAGCTCTGTTGGACATTCTTGGAGTCAGCATGCCAATTGTACGCTCCCTCAAAACTTGAGACATCTGTGGCATTGTGTTGTGACAAAACTGCACATTTTAGTGGCCTTTTATTGTCACCAGCACAAGGTGCACCTGTGTAATGATCATGCTGTTTAATCAGGTTCTTGATATGCCACACCTGTCAGCTAGATGGATTATCTTGGCAAAGGAGAAATGCTCACTAACAGGGATGTAAACAAATTTGTGCACAACATTTTAGAGATACGCTTTTTGTGTATGGAATATTTCAGGGATTTTTAATTTCAGCTCATGACACATGGGACCAACTTTACATGTTGCGTTTACATTTTTGTTCAGTGTAGATAGTTGTAAGCATAGTGATATCACATTGGGAATTCTACAAACTTTTGGCAATTTTTGAGTGGGTGAATAAAGGTTGAAATCTCATTGATCAACGTCAACCAAATATTACCCACATTTCCATGTTGAAGTGACGTGGTGTTCCCAGGGGGATATTAAATGAATTTGGCCAAGGGGTATGTCAAACAAATTTAGAGGGTACAATAAAATACAATGTAATAGTATTCATCAACAATAGGCTACCCTTAGATGCACAACAGGGCCTGGGAGGCTCACAGTACTCCATCCACTATCCAGTTTTCAACTCAATACTTGTATTCGCTAAAAAATGTTATTTAAGATTTAAAACTGCAAAATGTTCTCTTTGTCCCATGGCAAAATGTGTAGAATTTCCCGAGACGTGGTTAGGCCAGCCATGCGCTGCAGCAGTCATAGTAAAACAACTTGTATGCTATTTTTATCGCATTCTAAAGTCAGAGTTGTGTTCTGATTTTGACGCTGTCCCTGATTAATTGAAATCTCAAAAGGGGTCCCTGAACCCCTGGGCTAGCCTACCTGCCTACCAATATTACATTTAAAAATTGAGTCTCTTTTCTTTTCTTTTCTTTTCTTTTCCTTTCTTTCTTTCTTTCTTTCTTCTTTTCTTTCTTTCTTTCTTTCTTTCTTTCTTTCTTTCTTTCTTTCTTTCTTTCTTTCTTTCTTTCTTTCTTTCTTTCTTTCTTTCTTTCTTTCTTTCTTTCTTTCTTTCTTTCTTTCTTTCTTTCTTTCTTTCTTTCTTTCTTTCTTTCTTTCTTTCTTTCTTTCTTTCTTTCTTTCTTACTCTAGACAGGATGAGGACAGGTGTCTGAGTATCAGTATGAGTTGTTGGCACAGAGTCAAGACATGCCAGTGCCACAGACAATTGTCTGGAGTTTCTGTCTGTCCGGACTCTATGTCCTGAACCTTTCCGGCAGGGTACACAGCTCGCTCTATTGCTCTCTCGCATGTGTGACCTCATCACTGCTTATCTATTTGTTGATTGATGGCCAACTAATCCGTTTCCAAATGTTTGTCCATCCTCGAGTTAGTATCAGGAGTAATAGTATGTTTTTTGAAGGATTATTTTTATTATGTCTTTTGTGGCCTAGTTATACCTAGTTATGTAATACTATTTGCTGATGTATTTAAGAACATACACACACACACACACATAAACAAACACTAATTGGTGCTCAAATAAGGAGCAGCAGCAAGCTTTACGTGATACACATTGAAAATCTTGTACATACAATGGCCCTTTGTGTCCACTCAGTGGGAGCCCCATAACGCTGCCACCCACTGTTGTTTGCTCTGTAGAAACAATTACTGCACCTCACCCAGTCTAGTCTGCCTGCCTGATCCAGGCAATTTGTTCCTTTCGAAATTGTAGTCTGCCAGCATTCTTCTGATCATTATAAGCACTATATCCTGCATAGCAACACAAAACAAAGGATATAATCTCACTGTCAACTGCGTTTATTTTCAGCAAACTTAACATGTGTAAATATTGTATGAACATAACAAGATTCAACAACTGAGACATAAACTGAACAAGTTCCACAGACATGTGACTAACAGAAATTGAATTATGTGTCCCTGAACAAAGGGGGGGTCAAAATCAAAAGTAACAGTCAGTATCTGGTGTGGCCACAAGCTGCATTAAGTACTTCGGTGCATCAGATTTGCCAGTTCTTGCTGAGAGATGTTACCCCACTCTTCAAACCAAGGCACCTGCAAGTTCCCGGACATTTCTGGGGGGAATGGCCCTAGCCCTCACCCTCCGATCCAACAGGTCCCAGACGTGCTCAATGGGATTGAGATCTGGGCTCTTTGCTGGCCAATGCAGAACACTGATATTCCTGTCTTGCAGAAAATCATGCACAGAACGAGCACTATTGCTGGTGGCATTGTCATGCTGGAGGGTCATGTCAAGATGAGCCTGCAGGAAGGGTACCACATGAAGGAGGAGGATGTCTTCCCTGTAACACACAGCGTTGAGATTGCCTGCAATGACAACAAGCTCAGTCCGATGATGCTGTGACACACCGCCCCAGACCATTACAGATCCTCCACCTCCAAATCGATCCCGCTCCAGAGTACAGGCCTCTGTGTAATGCTCATTCCTTCGACGATAAACGCAAATCCGACCATCACCCCTGGTGAGACACAACCTTGACTCGTCAGTGAAGAGCACTTTTTGCCAGTCCTGTCTGGTCCAGCGATGGTGGGTTTGTGCCCATAGGCGACGTTGTTGCCGGTGATATCTGGTGAGGACCTGCCTTGCAATAGGCCTACAAGCCCTCAGTCCAGCCTCTCTCAGCCTATTGTGGACAGTCTGAGCACTGATGGAGGGATAATTGGCAGTTGTTGTTGCCATCCTGTACCTGTCCCGCAGGTGTGATGTTCGGATGTACCGATCCTGTGCAGGTGTTGTTACATGTGGTCTGCCACTGCGAGGATGATCAGCTGTCCGCCCTGTCTCCCTGTAGCGCTGTCTTAGGCGTCTCACAGTACGGACATTGCAATTTATTGCCCTGGCCACATCTGCAGTCCTCATGCCTCCTTGCAGCATGCCTAAGGCACGTTCACGCAGATGAGCAGGGACCCTGGGCATCTTTCTTTTTGTGTTTTTCAGAGTCACTAGAAAGGCCTCTTTAGTGTCCTAAGTTTTCATAACTGTGACCTTAATTGCCTACGGTCTGTAAGCTGTTAGTGTCTTAACGACCGTTCCACAGGTGCATGTTCATTAATTGTTTATGGTTCATTGAACAAGCATGGAAAACAGTGTTTAAACCCTTTACAATGAAGATCAAATGAAGATCAGTGAAGTTATTTGGATTTTTACGAATTATCTTTGAAAGACAGGGTCCTGAGAAAGGGATGTTTCTTTTTTTTGCTGAGTTTAGCTTGTCAATTTGAAAGAGAGAGAGAGCGCTTTGACGCTTGTTGTGCCAGCATAGTGGTTGAGTATGCAATGGAGTTGGCAGCAGGTGTGATGTTTTCATTCTCAACTGTTGCTTCTGTGACTAATACCGTGTCATAACACTGAAACCGAGCAAGGTGTTAGGACATGAATACATGTTGTGACATTTTTCACGCACTATGGAAATACTGGTTTCCTTGTTTTTTTTAGGCACATTGGCCATTGGCTGTAAATTATATTGTCACAAAACTCTGGCTGAACTCTTGAAACTACTGCATGTGATTACTAAGATACTTTCACTCTCTCTCACTCACTCACTGAGCCAGGTCATTTTAATGGAGGTCCAAGGTCAATGGCCGGAGGTCTTCGAGGGCTCTGACAGACAAGAGGACTCTGGTTGGGAGGATGAACTGCTGGGTAGCTCCACAATCACCTTGGCTCCTCTGGTGGCCAACCCTCCTCCCCCTCCCGTTCGCCGATCCCAGCCCCTCGTCATCCGCAGAAGCAGGTAGGCCTACCTGACTTGACTTACACAATGGCCATGACTCTTTGGTTGGCAGTGAATGAGACGTTCGAATATTGGGTCATATGTCACATCATGTTTTTGTAACCTTCATAAACAGACTATCCTGAAAATAGAGACACTTTTAATATAAATGGATTGTGTAATCGATTGGTTATATTGTGTGAAAAATGTTATTTTCCTTTTTATACATTGTTGTATTATTGTATTTGCGACTCACTTGTTTTTATACATTTTTCCAGAATGAAAAGCGTGGAACTGTCCTCTGTTCCCTCTATACCCAATCCCTTTCCAGAGCTGTGCAGCCCCTCTCAATCCCCAGTCCTGATTGGCTCTCTCTCACCGCCGAGAAGTGACACACATGTAAGTTCAAGGGCTGAATTCAGCCAAGCCTACATTTATAATATTATTATTATTATTATTATAATGTGATTGGCTATGCAATCTTCAGGGATATTTTGCTGCATTCATTTGATTGGCCATGGGTAGGTAGAACTGTCATATTGATAACATTGCCTCTTTGGAATACAGTATAAGTTAATTTGACTGGGTCTGGCAGAGAGGCCTCCAGAGGGGGTATCATGGATTAATGTTATTGACTGTGTGGTTCGCAGGGGTTAATTTGATTTGCAGAGGCCCCTGGGTATGCTTGTGTGTATTTAACGCCAGGCGACAGACTGACACAATGCCATAGATGCTCCTGGGCATGACAACACTCACTCACCACATACAAGCGTGCCACACGCACATTCTAATACACACACATAAAGACAAACAAAAACACACAATTTTCCTCCAATTACTTCCACGGTATCTTTACTTGTGGTATAGTTGCACAAACAAATTCCATAACGTTGTGACACCATCCATCACTGTCCGGATTAACATAGGTTTGAAGGTTAGTTTTTAAGGTCAGTAGAGCTATGTTAGTAACTTTACGTTCATGCAATCTTCTCTTTGCCTCAGGCTAAAGCCTTAAAGTAGTTGCATATTTTTGAAAACAGCTCAGAACTGACCTTCGATCTCCATACAAATAAATGTCAGTTTACATTCAATGTAAGGCGATTGTAAAATGGCAAATTATGCCATGTCAAGGACATTTTGTTTAAAATGCCCTACTTATGTGTTTAATGTACTGTATGTACCTAGCTACTAGGTACAGATTGGTTTTGTTTTGCCCCATGGCTACTGCAAACATCAGAGCAAAAATGTTCAACATTTCACTAAGCTATTTTGCTGACGGGTTGAATTCAGCGGATATTGATATCTTGCTCGGAAAGAATGTGCAAACATCCCCTATGAGCAGCGTTGGAGATTGTTATTTTTTTAAAATAACTTGTTACAGTGTTACTTACTATGAAAAGTAACTTGTTACATTACTTTTGCGTTACCAAACACCTCTGAAGATGCCTTGCATCTTAGTCATTAATTCCTATGCCCAGTAAAAGGCGCACACTACCTTTTGAATGGCTTGCATAGCCTAAACAAGGGGTGCAACTTTCACTGGGGACAGGGGGGACACCCCCACATTCTGAAATAGCATTTATGCCCCCCCCCCAGTTTTATCATTGGAATGTGATACAAACGAGGCAACGGTGTGCTTTAGGACCATGCGTACGCCTCCGAGCGGTCGGGTAGGCTGTTTGGAGTGTTTATCTGACTGAAAAAATATGTAGTAATTATGTCCCCCTCCCACTTCTAAAACCAAAGTTGCGCCCCTGGCCTAAACTATCTGCAGTCTATAACTCTGGGCTATACCAACTCTACTAATAATGACAGACGCAATATCTCCTTTACAATACTTAAAACAAATTATTTGCCTTTGTTGAATTATTTACACAGTGCCTTCGGAAAGTATTCAGACCCCTTGACTTTTTCCACGTTTTGTTACGTTACAGCCTTATTCTAAAATGGATTTAAAAAAAAAATAATCCTCATCAATCTACACACAATACCCCATAATGACGAAAAGCGAAAACAGGATTTTTAGACATTTATGAAATGTATTACAAAATAAAAACAGATACCTAATTTACATAAGTATTCAGACCCTTTGCTATGAGACTCGAAATTGAGCTCAGGTGCATCCTGTTTCCATTGAGCATCCTTGATGTTTCTACAACTTGATTGGAGTCCACCTGTGGTAAATTCAATTGATTGGACATGATTTGGAAAGGCACACACCCTTCTATATAAAGTCCCACAGTTGACAGTGCATGTCAGAGCAAAAACCAAGCCATGAGGTCGAAGGAATTGTCCGTAGAGCTCCGAGACAGGATTGTGTCGAGGCACAGATCTGGGGAAGGGTACAACATTTTTTTTGCAGCATTGAAGGTCCCCAAGAACACAGTGGCCTCCATCATTCTTAAATGGAAGTAGTTTGGAACCACCAAGACTCTTCCTAGATCTGGCCGCCCAGCCAAACTGAGCAATCTGGGGAGAAAGGCCTTGGTCAGGGAGGTGACCAAGAACCCGATGGTCACTCTAACAGAGCTCTAGAGTTCCTCTGTGGAAATGGGAGAACCATCCAGAAGGACAACCATCTCTGCAGCACTCCACTCATTTTATTTATCTTACCTTTATTTAACTAGGCAAGTCAGTTAAGAACAAATTCTTATTTACAATGACCGACTACACCGGCCAAACCCGGATGACGCTGGGCCAATTGTGCTACAGCCTGGAATCAAACCAGGGGGTCTGTAGTGATGCCTCAAGCACTGGGATGCAGTGCCTTAGACCGCTGCGCCACTCAGGAGCCCATCAGGCCTTTATGGTAGTGGCCAGACGGAAGCTATAACAGCCTGCTTGGAGTTTGCCAAAAGGCACCTAAAGACTCTCAGACCACGAGAAACAAGATTCTCTGGTCTGATGAAACCAAGATTGAACTCTTTGGCCGGAATGCCAACCGTCACATCTGGAGGAAACCTGGCACCATCCCTACGGTGAAGCATGGTGGTGGCAGCATCATGCTGTGGGGATGTTTTTCAGCGGCAGGGACGTGGAGACTAGTCAGGAAAGATGAACGGAGAAAAGTACTGAGAGATCCTTGATGAAAACCTGCTCCAGAGTGCTCAGAACCTCAGACTGGGGCGAAGGTTCACCTTCCAACAGGAGAACGACCCTAAGCACACAGCCAAGACAATGCAGGAGTGGCTTCGGGACCTCTCTGAATGTCCTTGAGTAGCCCAGCCAGAGCCCGGACTTGAACCCAATCGAACATCTCTGGAGAGAACTGAAAATAGCTGTGTAGAGCTTGAGAGGATCTGCAGAGAGAAATGGGAGAAACTCCCCGAATACAGATGTGCCAAGCTTGTAGCGTCATACCCAAGAAGACTCGAGGCAGTAATCGCTGCCAAAGGTACTTCAACAAAGTACTGAGTAAAGGGTCTGAATACTTACACTACCGGTCACTTACACACCTACTCATTGAAAGGTTTATCTTTATTTTTACTATTTTCTACATTGTAGAATAATGAAATAACACATATGGAATCATGTAGTAACCAAAAAAGTGTTAAACAAATCTAAATATTTGGTATATTTGATATTCTTCAAATAGCTACCCTTTGCCTTGATGACAGCTTTGCACACTCTTGGTATTCTCTCTACCAGCTTCACCTGGAATGCTTTTCCAACAGTCTTGAAGGAGTTCCCACATATTCTGAGCACTTGTTGGCTGCTTTTCCTTCACTTTGCAGTCCGCCTCATCCCAAACCATCTCAATTTGGTTGAGGTTGGGGGATTGTGGAGGCCAGGTCATCTGATGCAGCACTCCATCACTCTCCTTCTTGGTAAAATAGCCCTTACACCGCCTGGAGGTGTGTTGGGTTATTGTCCTGTTGAAAAACAAATGATAGTCCTGCTAAGCCCAAAGCAGATGGGCTGGCGTATCGCTGCAGAATGCTGTGGTAGCAGTGCTGGTTAAGTGTGCCTTGAATTCTCAATAAATCTCAGACCGTGTCACCAGCAAAGCACCCCCACACCATAACACCACCACCTCCATGCTTTACGGTGGGAAATACACGTGCAGAGATCATCCGTTCACCCACACCGCATCTCACAAAGACACGGCGGTTGGAACCAAAAATCTCCAATTTGGACTCCTGACTAAAGGACACTTTTCCACCGGTCTAATGTCCATTGCTCTTGTTTCTTGGCCCAAGCAAGTCTCTTCTTCATATTAGTGTCCTTTAGTAGTGGTTTCTTTGCAGCAATTTGACCATGAAGGCCTGATTCACACAGTCTCCTCTGAAAAGTTGATGTTGAGATGTGTCTGTTACTTGAACTCTGTGAAGCATTTATTTGGGCTACAATTTCTGAGGCTGGTAACTCTAATGAACGTATCCTCTGCAGCAGAGGTAACTCTGGGTCTTCCATTCCTGTGGCTGTCCTCATGAGAGCCAGTTTAATCATAGTGCTTGATGGTTTTTGCGACTGTACTTGAAGAAACTTTCAAAGTTCTTGAAATGTTCCGTATTGACTGACCTTCATGTCTTAAAGTAACGATGGACTGTCATTTCTCTTTGCTTATTTGAGCTGATCTTGCCATAATATGGAATTGGACTTTTACCAAATAGGGCTATCTTCTGTATACCCCCCCTACCTTGCCACAACACAACTGATTGGCTCAAACACAGTAAGAAGGAAAGAAATTCCCCAAAATTAACTTTTTAAGAAGGCACACTTGTTATTTGAAATGCATTCCAGGTGACTACCTCATGACGCTGGTTGAGAGAATACCAAGAGTGTGCAAAGCTGTGATGAAGGCAAAGGGTGGCTTTTTGAAGAATCACACTTTTTTGGTTACTACATGATTCCATATGTGTTATTTCATAGTTTTGATGTCTTCACTATTATTCTACAATGTAGGAAATAGTCAAAATAAAGAAGAAACCTTGAATGAGTAGGTTTTCTAAGACTTTTGACCGGTAGTGTATTTACATTTTAGTCATTTAGCAGATGTGATATGTCCGTTTTTTTTCTTCAAATTTTTATAAATTTCCAAATTTTCTAAAAACCTGCTTTTGCTTCGTCATTATGGGGTATTGTGTGTAGATTGATGTGGGGGGGGAAATTATTTAAGCAATTTTAGAATAAGGCTGTAACGTAACAAAATGTGGAAAAGGTCAAGGGGTCTGAATACTTTGCGAATGCACTGTATCAAACCAACTGGGCAAAGTGAAATGAGAGTTGAAATATCAGAACAACTGGCTACCAATCTGTTTTACCCACTGATATGAACTGGGCAGAGAGATAACTATACAATCACATTGTGTTGTGACCTTTCCATTATGTTTAATTTTATATTCTTATCAACTGAGCCTAACTCTTATCTAGCTACATTGTTTGCTTTATTACCAGACAATAAATGGGGCACTCGCCTGAACCCAATGATCCTGTGTTTGTGTGTGAATCCTGCAAGTAGCATCAGTCAAGATTCAATGGGTCACATCTTGCCTTTTCTTCTACCAATTCAAAGTAATGCGAATACTGCCACGATAAAAGCTATTGTCTCTCATCTCGCTAGATATCTAACTGCCGGCTACCATGCCAGCTACCCACCTCAACGTTCGTGCAGGAACAGGAAGAGCGTGACGAACGTTGCCTAGGTGGAGAGATTACTTTTTTTTTTTTTTGCGCCAAGAAAGAAAAAGGGAAATAATATTGTAGAAGTAACTGATTACTTTAAAAAAAACAACGAACGCTTTAGTTTACTCGTTACCACCAAAAAGTAATCGGAGATTACTCTAACGCATTACTTAACACTGCCCACGAGACTCCAAGCATTTGTCCATTATCTGGCCTGTCGTCATCTCTTGCGGAACGAGTCTGCGTTCGCTAAATAACAGGTGAAGTTTAAATCCGGTTGTACTGGTTTTGGAGTTGGCTGAGGAGATCGCTAGAGGCTGCATCGGGAGTGTCACAAGTCCTCAATGTAACCTGTACCTGGCTCTCCTCTCAGGCCTTGGGGGCCCGGGCTAGGCCTTGTGCCAGTCCCAGCAGACCGGTTCTGGAACAAGGTAGGAGGAGGGACAGAGGAGGTGAAAGATCTTGTAAATAAGAGGGGGAGAGAGAGAGCGGTAGAGAGATTGAACAAGACAAGTTCAAGGGGAGGGTGAAGTGTCAAGGGAGATAAAGGATTATTTTGAGCTGTCACTATAAAAGCTGTTGACTGATTCTTGCCATCAGAAACCCAGTCTCTCACCCTGGTTAAGCTTTGATGTGACAGTTCCTATTGCTATTAATTCCTATTGTTCATTTATGATGTTCATTTATGATGTGCACTTTGCCCGTTGACACTAGCGTGCCAGCAGTAACATCATCTCTTTTTAATCCTTTAATTTATTTTCATTGTTTTGTTTTTTTGTTGCCTTGATGTTGGATTTGTTTTTGTTTGTGTTTGTCTTGGTATGCATGTGTATGTACGTTGAATATTGCACAATGTACTCCGTTTTCTCAATGTAGTATCTCTTTCTCTGTCTGGTTCTCTGTCTAGCTGATCAAGGTGTTTGGTGAGGACAGTCACAGTCGGTCCCTGTGGGTGATACCCAGGGCCACAGCCAGGGATGTGTGCCATTTGTTGGTGCAGACAGCCCACTGCAGCGACCAGGAGAACTGGGCTCTGATAGAGCTGCATCCAGCCCTGGGCCTGGGTAAGACTGGACTGCACACTGTCCAAACATTGCCCAGCAAAATGCCATTATTGGCATTCCAATTATTTGCAATTGTTTTTGGAATGTTCGTGGGTTTTCTAAAGGCGAGTTTACATCAAAAAGATTAGACGAGATGAGACAACTGGAGTACGGTGTCCATATTAGGACAGCGTCAGACTCATAAGGAGTTGGTTTCAGACTCACTCTGACTTGAAAAAGCCTGCATACCCAGTAGCACTCCAGGAGGTGGGTTGGCCACCCCTGTCCTACACTGTGTAAAGTATTTCTCCCTGGGTTTTCCCCCCCAGAGCGAGTTCTGGAGGACCACGAGGTGGTGGTGGAGGTGCAGACTGCCTGGCCCCCAGAGAGCGACACCAAGCTTCTGTTCCGCAAGAACTACGCCAAATATGAGTTCTTCAGGAAACCTGTGGTAGGCCTGCTGAGCTCTTCTGCATCCTCTATCATTTGTCTAGGAAGAGAAGCTATTTCAAAGCCAAATGCCAAAGGCCCTGCTCAATACATAGTCACTCAGAGATCAGCTTAGATGGATGGAAGGAAATTGTGATGAACAGTATAACATACAAGGTGCTCTAACATTATGCATTATATAAAAGGATTCTGATCGGATCTTATGTTATGCCAGATTGTTGGCTGTACTGCTTTTAGTCAGACGTATGAGTAACTGTTTGTTAATAATCACTGTCATCTAGACGTCCTGGTAGAATCAGTGTTAACATTGTGTTCTTATCACATTCACGTTTCTCTTCCTGTTCATTTAACACGGCTGACTTCATACACGCACGCATACACATACTCACATGGTATTTAAAAAAAAATATATTTCTTAACTTATTAGCATGGTAGGCAAGTTGATTCGCACAGGTGTGCGTGTCTTTGCATGTACAGACAGTAGGCAAAATAAACCTTTGTCAGGTTTTAAACATTTGCTTTGATTTGCATGACATATTGCCTCAACCCCTTGAAACACTGCTATCAAGACTTGCTCATAACCCTCCATAAAGGCTCTAGAGAGACCTTATGTTATCTAAATAGCCCTTTGGTTTACAACTGTAGCTTCCTGTTACAGCTGTTCTTCCCCGAGCACATGATCTCAGACAGTGCTGATGTCACCAAGGGCATGACCTCAGCAGAACTCATCCAGGTAAGCAGCCTACTGTAGGGAAATAGAACAAGGCCTACTGCCCTGGTATAGCTTCTCCTTTGTTCTGTATGTTAGGTTTCACTCTAGCTGTGGATAAACTAGATGTGAATCCCTATATCAGGTTGTCAGGAAAGTATATCAGGAAACAAATTTAATTGGCAGATATTGAGAATGACATTTCAATCATGTCAGAGGATGTACAGAAACAGTCTTTTGGAATGGTTTTTAGTTCAGTAGTTCAAGTGATTTCAATTTTGAACCTTGTTGATTTCAATGCTTTTCTTTGGTTTATCCACTGTATCTTTGTCTTTGACCCAGATGTTGTTTCCTTGCCTCTCTCCAGAATCTGCTGCAGTTGGGGACATGTCCTGAGATCCAGGGCTTCCTCCACGTCAGAGAGCCCAGCCGCAAAGCCTGGAAGAAAGTCTACTTCTTCCTCCGACGTTCAGGCCTCTACTGCTCCACCAAAGGCTCATCAAAGGTTAGCCATGGAGCACAACATTTTGATAGAAATAGAACATCCAGAACAGCTAGCCCCACTGAAAGTAATTTACAAGAAATGGCAAAGGTACATAAAGATGGTGGATTTCAGAAATTACGTTATTGTTTTAGCACTATGCACAGAGTTTCTAAACTACGGTGTGCGACATGGTTTAATAAACCAATAAATCAGCACAATCTACTTTTTTGTTTTTTCAAATTGGTGACGTCTTGGAGCTAAAATTGGGATCATGTATACTGTGCTAATGACGACACAAAAAAAGGGTAACAGAGAGTAATGTACAAGTGGCCAAACTTAGCACACAATGTGTTTGTGGTAAGTGCATGGAGGACACCATTTTCATACATATCCACTATTTAATGCACATTCATTTAGTTTTAGGCTTTCCATTTCAAATCAATGGTTGAATAACTTGGGGCCGCATAGTTACTGTACATGTATGTAGATATTTGTAGTATATTGTTTCGATATGCCCCATCGACAGATAGCATGGACTGTCTGACGGTCTGATTGTCTGTCTCTGATGGTCTGTGTGTCCTAGGAGCCCCGTCACCTCCAGTACGTGGCTGACCTGGAAGACCTGAACGTCTACAGTATCACCAACAGCCGCAAGCTCTATGGTGCCCCTGTGGACTTCACCTTCTGCGTCAAGGTAACCATTACAACCATCCAGGGCTCCGTTCAAGAGAACAATGTTTAGAAATGTTCTGAAATAGGATGCTTAGATGTTTCTTTGTGTGTAGCCCAGCAAAGACCGTATTCGTGCGCAGGACTTGAAGCTGCTGTGTGCGGAGAACGAACAAACACGCACCTGCTGGACCTCTGCATTTAGACTATTCAAGGTGAGGAGAAACCAGTACTCGAATATCATTACATCATGACCTGAACTTTATTATGGAAGCAGATTCATGCCAAAACAAACACAAATAAAAGGTAAGATGGTGGATAAATAATTTAAAAAAAACTTGATAGAAACATGTGCTTACATTTTTACTTTCCTCCTGTGTCTGCCGGAGCAGTATGGGAGGCAGCTGCATTGTAACTACCAGCTGTCCCAGTCAGCACCTTGCCTTCTGGAGGCTGTGTCTCAGCGGTGTGAGTCGGAGGCCAGCCTGGTCGCCATGGACTTTTCAGGGAAGGCGGGGGGCCGGGTCATCCAGAATGCCTGGGAGGCCCAGAGTGCAGAGAGGGAGGAGGGACAGGCATGGAGGGTAAGGATAACTGGGTAGGATGGTGGGGTGGAGAATGAAACTGGACAGAGATAAAGATCGTTGAGGTGTATTTATTTTTTATCCTTTATTTAACCAGCTAAGTCACATTTAAGAATTACATATATTTTTCAAGTAAGCCCAGCATACATATAGTTCCACATGAGACAACACCACATAAAACACAACAATGAATGGAAGTTAAAACAGTGCAAAGTGTTCCAAGATAATACAAAAATAGAGAGGTCAGGTGACCAAGAGCAGGAACATGGGGATTGGGGTAAGAGGGTCACGGGAGGAATAACAAGCCAACAGACCAGGTTGTTGTTGGAGGTGTGTTAGCATTGTGTGCAGTCTGGAGTTACTAGTGAGTATGACCTCTCTTGTCTCTCAGAGGAGAGAAGCCTTGAGGTGCAGCCTACCCAACCTTACCCCAGGATCTCGGCCCTCTTGTGAGTCCAGTCAAACAAATTGTTTCACATTCACAGTGATTCCCAAACAGAATATATTTGTTCAGGACATTGATCTAAATGGTAAATGAGTGTGTGTTTGTGTGTATTACACAGCCATCCACAGGACCCAGCCCTGGTTCCATGGTGGTGTGTCGCGAAAGCAGGCCCAGAGGCTGATCGAGGAGCAGGGATTGGTGGACGGGTGTGTGTGCTTGTTGTGGGCACAGCTTTGCATGTAGCTCCTTTGCATGTAGCTTAGTTTGTAAACAACATGCTCACCTTGGGGTGACATCTACCACATTGTGTGTGTGTGTTTAGGATGTTCCTGATTCGTGAGAGCCAGCAGCATGCCCAGTGTTTTGTCCTCTCGCTGTGTTACAAGCTGAAGACCAAACACTACCTCGTCATCCCTGTGAGTGGACTTTCCTCTGCCCCGTCATGTCAGCCTTGCATTGTCCTTATAGCCTTGCTATCTCATAGTCTCATACTAGATATATATGATACTGATAGAGTAACCGTGTTTTTCATCATAATTTGGCACAAACAGGTATGCAGATTACAGCTAGTTATCTAACTCCGGTATCATATATATGTTTTTGCGCTAATTGTGTGATCCTGACAGATGAGCATATAAATGATTATTTTATTGTGAAACCCTTTCCTTAAACTCGTTTCTCTGTGCAGTGTGAGGAGGGCGGTAGGAAGTACTACACCATGGACGATGGCCTCACCCTCTTCATTGACCTACTGCAGCTGGTGGAGTTTCACCAGATCAACAAAGGCATCCTCCCTGTCTGCCTCAAACACCCCTGTGTCTGTGTCGCCCTCTGACCACTGTGCTAGGGACACCCCATATGACTCCAGGGACACCCCATATGACTCCAGGGACACCCCATATGACTCCAGGGACACCCCATATGACTCCAGGGACACCCCATATGACTCCAGGGACACCCCATATGACTCCAGGGACACCCCATATGACCCCAGGGGCACCCCATATGACCACTAGACAAGCGAAACCCAATATGACAACTTTTCTAGGTATATCTGCAAAGTAGTTAAAACGCTGTCAGTTCCACGATAGCTAGCTAGCTGTACACCGGTAGACTGTGTCCTTCGCCCCTGTGTTTCAGGCACTGTTTTCCCGAGGGCAGGCGGGAGGTAGGCGGGAGGCGGATGCGACACCTTGTGCTAGCTGACTAGCACACTGTGTCGCTAACTATCAAACTAGCTAGTACACAGTATCACCGTAGGCCACCGTCTGCTGTGCTAGCAGGAGGCGGGGACGACCGGTAGACAGTGTCCTTCAACCCCGCCTGTCGGGCATTCATGCAGGAACCAACGGGATGCTCGGGGGGGCGTTACGTTACTGCAGATGTGGGAACGCCCCAAATTGTGAGCTGCAGTTGCACACTATTGAAAAAGTAACATATTGCAGCTTTAAGTCCATGCTAGTGTGGAAGGGTCTAGACATGGGAGGTCACAGCTATACACCCCTAGCAGTAGCTTTTAAATTATGTATTTTTAATTGAACTTAACTTATTGTAGTTTCAGACATCACCCCCCCCCCCTATTTTTTTTAAAAATAATTAATTACTTGCAATCCCTTTGAGGGTAAGTTTAATTATGCATTTTGCACTGACTTTAGCAGGCACAGCTTTAGGATCTTAGAAAGAGCGCCAGCATTCATGGTAGGATTTTGTGCTACAACCTAAAGAATTTGACTTGCTAAAGGGCTTGTTCACTCCCTTGTGAAGCAGTACCTCTGTGGATAGTTGGCTGGATTGCTACAACTGATATCACTGAGTAGATTCTTCAATTTAGAAAGTAACATTGTTGACGCACATCCTTAGGGGCTAGGTGATTTGCAGGTGGAATTGTTGCACATAGAGCCCCTTTCAATGTGTGGGATACAGTGTGCACGTTCTTCAGTGTACCACTAGAGAGCACTCTTCATACACGGGTAGCAGAGCCAAAGATGTGAGAGTTGATTTGTCGTTGAGGAATTGATCAGGGGCTTACCCAGAAAGGTGCAATGTTTTAGAATCAGTTAGAAATAAACTCTATAGAGCTATTATAAATCCATATTCTTCATTTCAGGAATTATCAAGCCTTTTCTGCACAATACATTTCTATCCGAATGTTCTGTAATATTGCACGATCTTGAATAAGCCCCAGGTTTGGTGAAATACTGTAGCTACTCTGAATGCCTTCTGAATGTTTTTCAATGATGTGTATATGTATGTTTAATTATTGTTTTAAGGTTCACTGTGTATGGTTTTCATAATAGGACACAATACTAAGTGCCTTGTATATTCATATAACACTTAGAACTCTTAACCCTCCCGTTGTCCTAGGGTCAAAATGACCCGCCACTGTGTTGAACCAACTTTATTTAATTTGTATATTTTTTGGATCATTTGTGAGAAGGAGGCAGTGATACTTTCTTTAAAGTCTCACTGCCTCCTTCTCACAAATGATCCCAAAAATATAAAAATTAAATAAAGTTGGTTCAACACAGTGGCGGGTCATTTTGACCCTAGGACAACAGGAGGGTTTTAAATGCATATTTCTGCACAATGTTGGTTGAGGGAGAACTATTTTTATATTTTGCTTTTTGTAGTTAGCTGAAAAAGAGATGTGGGCTGTTCATTCCTACTCTGCATGTTCATAGTGTAAACTTACATGTATGGGATTTCTATCAATTACATCAGACTTATTTGAAATCTTGCACTTGCTCATATCTTTTATATGAATAAGTGGTGTTAGATGTGCAACATATAGTTGCACATCTAACACGTCAAGTTATTCAATGCACAAGGCCAGTTTACATTTGTGCCACATTTTATTTTTTTAAAAATTGAAATAAATTGTATTGTGTGATATGCAACATGGCAAATATCTATATCTCTTTCATAACTGTTTAATAAATAAGTGATTTCTTATGATTTCTTAAATTGCATCTAATTTTCATTTTTGCACTGTAATCATGGCCAGGACCAGATGGAGTTGTCTTATCACTATGGCTACAGTATCTGCATTTACTGTAAATATAAACCAATGAGAGCGCTTTACAACATAAACATAACAAGAATGGACCTCAATATTACTGATGAGTTTACAGCCTACCGACATGTACAGTGCCTTCAGAAAGTATTACATTTACGTAATTTAGCAGACGCTCTTATCCAGAGCGACTTACAAATTGGTGCATTCACCTTATAGCCAGTGGGAAAACCACTTTACAGTATGTTTTTTTTTTTTTTTTCTTTCTTTGGGGTGGGGTAAGGGCGGTAGAAGGATTACTTTATCCTATCCCAGGTATTCCTTAAAGAGGTGGGGTTTCAAGTGTCTCCGGAAGGTGGTGAGTGACTCCGCTGTCCTGGCGTCGTGAGGGAGCTTGTTCCACCATTGGGGTGCCAGAGCAGCGAACAGTTTTGACTGGGCTGAGCGGGAACTGTGCTTCCGCAGAGGTAGGGGGGCCAGCAGGCCAGAGGTGGATGAACGCAATGCCCTCGTTTGGGTATAGGGACTGATCAGAGCCTGAAGGTACGGAGGTGCCGTTCCCCTCACAGCTCCGTAGGCAAGCACCATGGTCTTGTAGCAGATGCAAGCTTCAACTGGAAGCCAGTGGATTGTGCGGAGCAGCGGGGTGACGTGAGAGAACTTGGGAAGGTTGAACACCAGACGGGCTGCGGCATTCTGGATGAGTTGTAGGGGTTTAATGGCACAGGCAGAGAGCCCAGCCAACAGCGAGTTGCAGTAATCCAGACGGGAGATGACAAGTGCCTGGATTAGGACCTGTGCCGCTTCCTGTGTAAGGCAGGGTCGTACTCTCCGAATGTTGTAGAGCATGAACCTACAGGATCGGGTCACCGCCTTGATGTTAGCGGAAAACGACAGGGTGTTGTCCAGGGTCACGCCAAGGCTCTTCGCACTCTGGGAGGAGGACACAACGGAGTTGTCAACCGTGATGGCGAGATCATGGAACTGGCAGTCCTTCCCCGGGAGGAAGAGCAGCTCCGTCTTGCCGAGGTTCAGCTTGAGGTGGTGATCCGTCATCCACTCTGATATGTCTGCCAGACATGCAGAGATGCGATTCGCCACCTGGTTATCAGAAGGGGGAAAGGAGAAGATTAGTTGTGTGTCGTCTGCGTAGCAATGATAGGAGAGGCCATGTGAGGATATGACAGAGCCAAGTGACTTGGTGTATAGCGAGAATAGGAGAGGGCCTAGAACTGAGCCCTGGGGGACACCAGTGGTGAGAGCACGTGGTGCAGAGACAGATTCTCGCCACGCCACTTGGTAGGACCGACCGGTCAGGTAGGACGCAATCCAAGAGTGAGCTGCGCCGGAGATGCCCAACTCGGAGAGGGTGGAGAGGAGGATCTGATGGTTCACAGTATCAAAGGCAGCAGACAGGTCTAGAATGACAAGTGCAGAGGAGAGAGAGTTAGCTTTAGCAGTGCGGAGAGCCTCCGTGACACAGAGAAGAGCAGTCTCAGTTGAATGACCAGTCTTGAAACCTGACTGGTTTGGATCAAGAAGGTCATTCTGAGAGAGATAGCAAGAGAGTTGGCTAAAGACGGCACGCTCAAGAGTTTTGGAGAGAAAAGAAAGAAGGGATACTGGTCTGTAGTTGTTGACATCGGAGGGATCGAGTGTAGGTTTTTTGAGAAGGGGTGCAACTCTCGCTCTCTTGAAGACTGAAGGGACATAGCCAGCGGTCAAGGATGAGTTGATGAGCGAGGTGAGGTAAGGGAGAAGGTCACCGGAGATGGTCTGGAGAAGAGAGGAGGGGATAGGGTCAAGCGGGCAGGTTGTTGGGTGGCCGGCCGTCACAAGTCGCAAGATTTCATCTGGAGAGAGAAGGGAGAAAGAAGTCAAAGCATAGGGTAGGGCAGTGTGAGCAGGACCAGCAGTGTCATTTTACTTAACAAACAAGGATCGGATGTCGTCAACCTACTTTTCAAAATGGTTGACGAAGTCATCCACAGAGAGGGAGGAGGGGGGGAGGGGGAGGAGGATTCAGCAGGGAGGAGAAGGTGGCAAAGAGCTTCCTAGGGTTAGAGAAATGAGTCAAAGGTAGACGTAGGGAGGTTAAAGTCACCCAGAACTGTGAGGGGTGAGCTATCCTCAGGAAAGGAACTTATCAAGGCGTCAAGCTCATTGATGAACTCTCCAAGGGAACCTGGAGGGCGATAAATGACAAGGATGTTAAGCTTGAATGGGCTAGTGACTGTGACAGCATGGAATTCAAATTAGGAGATAGACAGATGGGTCAGGGGAAAAAGAGAGAATGTCCACTTGGGAGAGATGAGGATTCCTGTGCCACCACCCTGCTGACCAGATGCTCTCGGGGTATGCGAGAACACATGGTCAGACGAGGAGAGAGCAGTAGGAGTAGCAGTGTTTTCAGTGGTAATCCATGTTTCCGTCAGCGCCAAGAACTCCTTGACTTTTTTCACATTTTGTTGTTACAAAGTGTTATTTGAAATGGATTGAATTGTCATTGAATTGTCATCTACACAAAATACTCTAAAGTCAAAGTGGAATAATTGTTTTATTTATTAATGGAAAATAAAATACTATCTTGATTAGATAAGTATTCAACCCCCTGAGTCAATACATGTTAGAATCACCGTTATCATTGATTACAACTGTGATCTATTTCTGGGTAAGTCTCTAAGAGCTTTGCACACCTGGATTGTACAATATTTGGCAATTATTCTTTAAATAATGATTCAAGCTCTGTCAAGTTGGTTGTTGATCATTGCTAAACAGCCATTTTCAAGTTTTGCCATTGATTTTCATTCCGATATAAGTCAAAACTGTAACTAGGTCACTCAGGAACATTCAATGTTGTCTTGGTAAGCAACTCGTGTACAGTGCATTCGGAAAGTATTCAGACCCCTTGACTTT